TTGCATCCGATAGTGGGTTCTCTTAAGGAGACTACGCTGGACCTAATTACGTCAAGTTAATTCGTAAACGTAAACATTCCTCGATGGAGAAAAGCGGAAAATTGCAACGTTAAATCCCCTACGATCCTTAACTAAATCTGCGTGAAGTTTAGACAACTGGTAGAGAAGCACAAACAAATTGGTGGACAAGTCGAAACAAACTGCGTGATTCGCCGAAACTTCCTTCGGGTCATTTATTATGCGAAAAGGTCACGCTGTAATCCCAGGGTTCGTATTTTAATAAAGCAAATAAATATGATATCGCTTTAGTTTGGTAAAATTTGGACGAGATAAAAAGCTTTTAAAAACCCGACCAGGTTTTGACGGGTTTTAATTGGTGATTAGTCATTATCACTTGTCGGATGTTTTCCGAGACGTCTACTGTCATTAATCATTGGAAAATTTCTTGAACGAGGGAGTTTTTTTTGTTCGAAGAATTTCATTCAATTCTCTGTTCGAAATATTTCTCTAAACAGCGAGTGGTTGTGACTGAAATGTAACTGCCAACATTACGGCCACTGATAAATGCGCAAATATTGTGGAACCCTCAAGAGAGATGCTAAATGTGTGTATACGTTCAGGTGTTTCCCATTTCAGGCAACATTTCAGAACTCGAAATCAATCCTTCATGAAACGAAGATTTTCTCTCAAATTTTGCCCAATTGCATTTCATACACTAGAAAAATTATGCGGGTATAGTAATAATGATGTTCTGAATTCTTCCTAATTATCAATTATTGATAATTAAAAGTTTATTATAATGTTATTGGTGACTTTACAGTTCAATGAGACCTGTGGCGGAGAAAATGACATTCTAGTTCGGCAGTAAAATTTGTAATGGTTGCTTTGTTTTACAGTTTCACGTCACATTAAAGTTTACTGCTTCGAAATCTAAACGGAACAAAAATTGCTTGCCAATTTCCTTAATTGTAATTTCTTCTTCTTCTTGTTGTTTGTCCTAACGGAGGTTGGATATTATAATGGCTATTTTAACCTTGTTAGCAGCTGCTCTGAATTGTTGGTTTGATGTCATTCCAAACCATTTTCTTAAGTTTTTGAGCCAAGAAGTACTTCTTCTTCGGCCCTTAATCTTTCCTTCCATAATGTTCTGTAGCATCGCATATTTAGGTCCTCCGATCACGTGGCCAAAGTATTCCATTTATCTTCTTCTTAGAGAGTTAATTATTTCCTGCTATTTTTGGGTTCTCTGCAGCAGTTCCAGATTGGAAACCCTGTCAGTCTGCATATCTGCATTTTTCAGTGTCCATGCTTCTGACGCATAAAATAATGTTGAAAAAACGCACCATCAAAGCATTCTTATTCTTAATCCGCAATTTACATCTCTGCTGCAAAGAAACTTTTGGCTACCTCTATGCGATTTTTGATTTCATGAGATTGCTCCATTGTTTCGTGTAGCCATATTCATAAGTATTTATATTTTCTTATTTTTTCTATCGTTGTGTTGTCTATAGTAAGAATTCCGTTAACTTGGACTTACTGTGTAATAATCATCTATTGAGTTTTCTTAAGGTTCATGTTTAGTCCATATCTTTCACATGTATCATTTAGCCTCTGCAGCAGGGTTTGCAGATCTTCAAGCTTGTCTGTAACTATAATGGTGTCCTCCGCATAACTTAAGTTGTTTAAAATCTGTCCGTTTATGGTAACACCCTCCTGTCGTTCATCCATAGCTTCACTGAAAATTGCCTCACTATATATGTTAAAGAGTAGCGAAGTAAGCTGATCTTCAATTCTGGCTTGCTGTTTGGTTTCAGTGATGTTCTGTATTAAACGCCTTTTCAAAATCAACAAAACAGGCGTAGACATCTTGGTTTATGTCGAGACATGAACAGAGCCTCTCTAGTCCCCATACCCTTTGTAAAGCCTAATTGACTATCGCTGATTTTGGAGCCCAAAGGCAAAGTGTGACTCATAAGGGCTATTGTTCGATGATCGGAACATTCTGTAGTATTTTCTTTCTTAGGTAAACCAATGTCTTGGAATAACTCCGGTTGAGTATATGATATTAAAGAGATTTACGAGGATCATAACCGTGTCCATCTGTATCTTGTCAGGGGCATTTGCTCTTCCTCCTGTCGTCTGTTGAATGGCATGTAGAACCTGCCCGCGCAGCATCTCCAGACCAGTCTCCTCAGCATGACCAAGAATCAGTTCAGGTCGATAGTTATTGAAAGGGTCAGTCCAGCGAATCAACTGTCGCTTGACATTCGGAATAATACTGCCGTCGCAACTTGTCAATACAGTAGACTGCCTATATTTCTTCATTCCGGTCATCTCTTTCAGCTTCCTATGCAGATTTAAGCTGGGATAACTTCGCTCGTATTCTTCCACTTCATCACACTCTCTCCTTATCCAGTCTTCTTTGGCAGATTTAATTTTTCTTTGAACGATGTTGTCAATTTCTTGATATCTATTTATTTATTTTTATTCGTATGCTTTCGTCCATTTTCTCTGTCATGAAATTTTATCTAGCTTTTGGTTCTGAAGTCAGCATTTCTTGAGCTGCTGTATGTATATATGTAATTTGTTATTTATTTGTAATGTATTATAATTTTGAAACAAAAATTTTTCTAAATCTACCTATATATGCTTGCAGTTTACAGACAAACAAAGTTTACAACTGCAAGCAACGTGATTTAAGGATACCCAATTAAAATAACATGTTTTGCATTTAACAATGCTTGTTGTGTTGCCGGTTTTCCATACCACAATTTAAATACGATAAAATAGATTTCGTCGTAATTTTTCATTGCCATTTTCAAGAAACGCCACACCACAACGACCGAAAACGGAACCAGGAATAATGATGCTTCCTGGAAAGAGTTGTACGAGGTGTGTTCAAAAAGTAAGGTGATAGTTTACACGTCAAATTCTATCAAAAAAAGGTTTTTCTTACTGTTTTTGATTATCGCGGTGTAGTACATCAATAGTTCTTACCACAAGGTGGTCCTGTCAATAAAGAGAAGGTATGGGCCGTTCTTGGATTCTTCTGAAGATTTAAAATATTATAATTTGTTGATACAGGGTGCCCCAAAAGTGTTCCCTCCGATATTAACTTTGTTATTTTAAATGGAACAGGCTGTATATATATCGACATTTTTAGAATCCTTGTTTAAAATAAAGGCCACTTTCTTAAGAGATTCCGATTCAAATTTTGCATAGTTTAGGCAGAAATTGAGGTTATGTGTTTTTTTTCACATTTTGATTACTGCATACAAAATTGTGTTGTAACGCTACTAAGTGAGATATTGCAACGAAAATTTCACCACAGACTAAGGAGACGATGCACTACTCAATCAGTTTGACAGATGCGCCTGAGCTTATACAGGGCGTTCCAAATAGTTGGTGCTGTTTCAGATTTTCAAATGGAACATCCTATATTTTTATTCAGATATCAATTCTAGGATAAAAAATGAGGTAAATTTGTAATTTATCTTATGTTTAATTTTTTCTTACGTTTTGAGATATTCGAGGTTTACGATAACACTTGTATAAATTCTTGTTGAATTTAGAGCTGTCCACATTAGGTCCCTTGTTGCCAATATTAGGTATTTTTTAAATAGCAAAGACATGATCCTACATCTTTTTAAGATATAATACTAATAATAATAATAATATACGAATAAAACCTATCGCTAGCAATGCAGATTTAATAAAACTTTAAAATTCAAATTTAAAGAAAAAGAAAAAGAAATTGGTTAATTATTCAGCTTGATTGAAAATACCAAATAACAAAAATAAATTAAAGTTTATAGGCTAACTAACCAAGATAACAAATTTGAATAAATAAATCTATAAAAAAATGTTCATTTCATCTGGCATCAAAACAACAAAGAAATATCAAAATAGTTAAATGTTTCTTTAAATATGAATTCTGAAGTTTAATCAAATCTGTTAAAGTGTGTAGTATAGAGTAGATTTTTTTTCAAAATCTCCACGTATTAATAGGTTTTATTCGTATATCTGGAGTATTATATCTTTAAAAGAAGTAGTATCGTGTTTTTGCCTTCTTATGTGGAAATAGACGACGAAGTATATATGATGTTGCCTGGTGGATTAAACGAAAAAGTCTCCGAAATATTGGAATACTAAGTTTAACAGTTTAATGGAAAGGCTGGGGCTTTTTAAGATTAGAAAATGATTTTTGTAAGTATTCCAAAATTTCTTAGACCAGTAGATTTTATACTTTGCTCTATGTAGATGATCTATCTCTTTGGGTTGGGATGAAACCAAATTTGAAAGAACATAACATATATATTTCAAAATATTTTATCAGATCACATTTGACTTCAAAATTTTAACATAGGAAGATCAAATAAAAATCCGATAAACAGTTCTGTTTATCTACAACCAACGTTACTACTTGTATGTAGAAGTACGTCCTTATATCTTGCACTATAGTTTTTTGCATTCTCCACTCAAAGCTTTCAATAAGCCAAAACCATTTATCTGTGAAAGCACTATAGAATGAACCGGCCAAAAGTTCACTTGAATATTAGTATCATTATTATCATTTTCGTTTAGCACACAATATTAGAGCTAAAGTCACAATTACGATTTGATTGACCAAAATTGCTGCTGCGAAAATATATACCAGGTGAGTTGAAAATTTGCGTCAATTTTCGGTGTAAGGCTAACAAGAAAGCACTTGTAAATCTTGAAGTATTTACCATCGTGATTAAGGTCAACGTTATTCAAAATTTCCGGTATGGTGTTTTTTGGTATGGTAAATTTTACCATATAACAGATGGTCGGACTGTAACTGTTAAGAGTAATTTTGAACGAGCATGAAGTCAAACGTTTTTGGAAGGGTGTAATTGGACAACAAACAACTCAAATTCCGTCCAATTTGTTTCATTTAAACATTTCTCAAATACTTAGAATGTTTTAAATTTTTCTATATGAGGTAATGGAATGATCACTAATATTATTGCTCTTACCTTCTGTGTTTGTTCACTATATTGAAAACAATTAAACCACTAGCTAAAATTATCCCTAGACTCGACACAATGCACATACAAATGAAAAGGGACAACGAAACAGTCCGCAATGCTCTTCTGATGATGGTTCGATCTTGAGGTACTTTCCCACCTAAAAACAAAAACGTTTCAGTATAGCATTTAAGTAATTATTTTAACATTCAACACAAATTTGCGTTTCAATTTAATTTGGAGGAATTATAACACAAATCCAAAACGTAATTAGCCAAAGACCAAATTGGCACAAACATTTTTCATTTACAAATAGCAGATTAGTAGAAACACTGGTCTAGAGAACTTGCAAGGTACGGACTTGCAACGTTTACCGTTTTAGCATGTTGTTTGAGTTATATTATTTATCTCAAAACAACAATAGAGCTATGTTAAAACTTTTTTCAACGGTATGTTCTGTCGTCCTCACTTTAATACTAAATAAACTTTATAGGGGCTATTTCTAATTCTAGGTCTAATTATCTACATTGTGTTGTTTATTTATCGTTTTTATATTTTCGGAGAGACCTTTGCCGCCACCCAGGGTCCTGTCCGCACTGAATGATGAATGAGTTTGCTAGATCTGTCGTTCTACTACAGAAAATTGCCATGTAACCAAGATTCTTATCCCAAAACATTGAGAAATTCTACATCTACTTGTTCACATTCATGGCCCTTAGTTATCGGTTTTTCATTTTGGTTGGTTCTGGTTAGTTATTGGCATGAAATAATAAACCAAGTGAGAATTTCATTAAACTTTTTAACTTACTCACCAGAAGTTTTTTTATTTTTTATATTTATTTATTGAAAACTATCAGTATATGATAATCGATAGGGATAGAACCATCCAGCTAGGAAATTTACGAAACAGGGTAGAAGTAGTATACAATAAACCAAACCATTAAGATATATCATAAGAGAAATGGACAGAAAACATTAGCCCAGAACATCAATGCTAAACCTAATAAAGATTCGATCAAAGAAATTCCTTACCCAAAATTCTACGAAGGCCGATAGTTAACATTTTGGTAATATCTATATTATTAATATGGTTCGGAATCATGGGCTAATGATGGATTAATGATTAAGAGAAACCGAAAACTGACATCAATGGAGACAGACGATCAAATCGAATTACATAAATAAGATACGACTACGAAGAAGAGATAAAAAAACGCTCTGTGTTTTAAAGTATTGAACTATGATGATTGTCAAGAGTCCTTGACAATCATCATGGTCTTGGTCTTAAAAAAAAGAATAATAGTTAGTTTGAGGCAGTTGTTCTTGAAAGTGGATTCTAGATTTTTAATTAACAGTTTCAGAGAAAAAAAATAAAAAGGGTAAGGCAAGTTTTCATGGCAGGATGGTCCACTGGGTGCAAAAATGGATTTGTCGGTGGTGACTAACTATGTAGTACGGTCATAGTGACTAGTATGTGAATCAACACGGACTGAAGACTATGACTATGACTGAAGACCTGAATGCTGATGTTTTTGAAGAGCAGTAAACATCATTCCACGTCTTTTTGAAAAAAAAATATCATCTCATATGCTCAAAAAGAAGTGAAGATATTGGATCTCGAAAAAAGGAGTAATTGAGTCGAACATATGATTTGAATAGAAGAAGAAATGAGGGAACCTCATAACATAACATGCTAGAAAACAGTGTAGCACTCTTCATCATTTCTCTACGACTATCACGATTATATTTCATCTAACTACTCGGGACATCATGATTCCAATATACAACTGCTTGCTTCTACAAATGCAAATCTTAGGAAAATGAACATTTGTGTGTGTGCGATGTAAAAAACATGCATGAATTCAATATAAATACACACAAATATTCATTTTGCGAAGATTTGTATTTGTAGAAGCAAGCATTTGTATATTGTAATCATCATGTCCCGAGTAGTCACTTATCGGTGGATATAAAATCTCGGCTGCCGAATAGCCCATTTTTTTTTATTTTCTTTATATATTAGTTGCAGAATCTAAAATTTTCACTTCAGGTACCACGCCAGTAATTTTTGTTACTAAGCAAGAAAAGCATCTCTTGTTACTCGAAGTTTTTGCCATTGAGATCGTGTCGAATAATCGTGATGGAATAAATAAATAAAGTGATGTTGAGTTTGTAAAACTAATTTGTAAGTTGAAAGAAAATACAATTTTTGCACATTGGTATAGTTCTTCTGTAGGACAAACGATTTACAATTATTTTCAAATATACATGGAGATTCTTAAATATGTGGGAAATCAAACTTAGTTTTTTTTTTAACTTATATTGTGCCACTAATAGATTCTCCCTTTTATACTTAATCACCCAATGTGGGATTGTTATGGTCTAATCTGAATGTTTTCGAATTTATGCCTGCTTTTTCGCCTTGAAGAAGGGTGAGTCAAAATGAATAATTTTTAATAATTATTAATTATTTTTAATTTTTATTTAGAACACCTTGTATATTATATTTCCATTAATTACTATTATTAATGGTCTTTCAATTTTGCTAACCATTTTTTGAAGTATACACATTTTTACGAATCCTGAAAATTTTCAAACCGTGCAAAAATATCACAAAAGTTTGAAAAAAATAAATATTATTTGAATATGAAAGGTCTACATAGACGAATTAGGTATAATTGTTTTAATTCAAAATATTTTTAGAGATTTAAACAAAAATCAAATTGTCAACTGCCCAATTTTGGGAAAACAACTTAAACAGTATTTAGGCTAGGGATAATTAGAAAAATGCAAAAATCTAGAAAAAAACACTTAAAAACTAAGAACAAAGTCGCAAAGCCAAATTTAATGAATTAATTAATTGTTTAATTAAGTTTCATTTTATTTATTACTCGAAATATCTCTCCAGGACACATGAAGGGTTTCTCTTATCCTTTGTTTCATGTTCCCTTTTGTTTTGGGGGCAATTTTATACACCTGGTCTTTAACATATCCGCACAGAAAATAATCCATCTTTGTTAGATCAGGAGATCTAGGTGGCCATCTAATCGCACCATCTCTTCCTATGCACCGTGAAGGAAATAAATTCAAGTAGTTCGTAATTTTATGGGCATGGTGTTCAGGAGCTTTATCATGAAAGAACTATATCTCCACCTCACTTCGTTTGGAATACTTCTTCACGTTTCTTGTAGCCTCTGCTTTAAAAAGTCTAAGTAAACTAAGTAATGGAAGAAAGGAAATATTTTTTTCACAAAATTAAGAATTTATTTATTCATTTTTATTTTTCTTGGCTTTTTTAATATTCTTTCATAATTCGACAAATTTTCGGAATTCTGTTCCTAAAAATGCGTATACCTCATAAAAATTATAAAAATAATAGATTAAGAATTAAGAAAATTAAAAAAGCGTTAACAGGAGTAATTAATGTGCGTTTTATTTGATCTTTTCACGAAAATTAATACTTTTCCTTTTGACTCACCATGTATACACCATTCAAACTAACTTGAAGATTATAGCGAGAGTCAAACATATAGAGTGTTAAATACAGGGTATTTTTGACGATAAATGGGTGATTGAATATAAAAGGGAATATCTGCTAATGCAATAATATACAGGGTGTTCCATTTGAAAATATATAAGTTTGGTTTCACACATATTTATAATTTACCATGTATATTTAAAATTAATTTTAAAATTTTAGTCTCGTCTATAGCTTTTATATTTAACATTTTTTTCTGAAACAAATAATAAACACCGGATTCGTTGCTAAGTGTTCTCTAATGTTTAAATATAAAACGTAATGCTGGAAAACAGAAAATAACAAGTAATTCACAAACAACTTAAAGAATGATACATAAAATTTGTCAAACGTTCAAGAGCGTCGCGTTCCCAGTATGGACCACACTGTACTAGCCAATCTATTTTTAGAACACCGTTGGGGCGGTAGTGTTTGAGCGTACCTGGGATTCACCACCATTTCGCACAGAGACGGGCTTTAGATTTTGTTTGTTCGCGTAGCATTCCGCCACGAAGTTACTGTTTTTTAACACATATTACTTTGACACACTGTTTCGATACAATGTATATAACTTTAAGAATTCACTTTTGAGTAATTTGAATTATTAATGGATGTTCTACAAAGCTTGAACTTACAAAAGGAATACGTCTGTGATAATTATGCAAAAAATCTAGGGCATACAGTTTTAAGACTTCCTTCCACCTTATCACTGTATATTCAACCCCATTGAACATGTTTGGCACCAACTGAAATCTGCCATTCGTGGTAACAATGTTTTCCCAGTATTAACTTCAATGTCCTCAAACTTATGGAAACCGAAGTTTTTAACATACCTCCACAAAGTTGGGCAAACTCTGTTAAACATATAGAAAAAGCAGAACAATCGTATATCCATATTGCAAATAATATAGAACAAATAATAATTAGAACAGGCGATGATAGCGATAGTGATACTGATATATTATGTGAATAATTTTAAGTAATTTAAGTAGGTAATAAAAAAAATGTTTGGCCAAATTTCATTCTTACAACTTGCCCGGGTTTTTCCTTAATTCGTATCAGTTAGTCACTTTCTTATATCTATGAACAGACTTCACTTAACGTATTGGGAGAAACTATATCGAAAAACTCAGTCAGTTCAGATTTGAAATTCTGAGAAATTTAGTAAAGTATACGCATCACCGTAGAATGGGAGGAAATCAGTTTTTCACAATGTTGTTTTTGTGCACAGTCCATGATGCATAAGTATAAAAAGTACATCATCCATAATGACAGGTTGTGTTCGGCCGACTTGACACTCATTTTAAATCCTCTGCCCTCCAAAACATCAATCAACTTTACGAATTACGCTACTGAATGCATTCTGAATATCTTAATAAATACAGAGTGATTTGTAGATTTTTTCTGTCAGGTAGTACTCGCTTCTTCTTTGGATTTACCGTTCTGGCACCCAAAATGATGCTTTTCGAGGTAGCTAAACTATCCTGGCTTTGAAAATTCTTTCAAAAGTTGGAGAGTAAGGAGACTGGCCAGTAACTTGTAGTGTTTGCTATGTCGCCAGATTTATGCAGTGCTCTGACTACAACCCCCAGAATATTCATTGCAAATTTACATTTTATAACACTCTCGCATAGTTGCTCCAA